GTAAAAGCTAGTAGGGCAGAGACAAAGTAAAGATAATGTTGTTTCACTTGTGAGACTTCTTTCCCCATAACCCTATGATAAAAAACTGATGATAATTAAATAAACAGCACTTCTCGAAAGACATTAGTGGCCATCAGTTGCCATCAGTTGCAGCCACCAGAAATACTTTTAAAGGCAGAGATTCACATTTATTTGAGAACTGCTTGGTTTCAGAGGATATCTCAAAATCCATACCTTTGTGTTTCTCTCTTTATCTGCTGATCTTTGTAAGTAATACTTGACATTTCTATCTCGGGGGGGGGGAAACAGAAGGGAAGAAGAATCAGGGTTTTTTGGTTCGTACATCTGACAGCACAGTTCTTGAGTCATTTCTCCCTGTTGTGGGGGGAGGGGACAGCATGAGCCTCATTACGTCAGATGTGGAAGAAATCTTATAAAAAAAATGATTTGTAGAGAGGAGGGTCTGGGTGGGTCTTGGCACCTGGATCATCTTAATTACTGCCTTTTGGGTTCCCCTTGTCTTCACATCGGTGATGTGTCCCTCAGGTGACAGTCAGACACCTCACCCCTAATACTGGGGACGGGGATGTGTAGAAGAAGCTCCCGCGAGTGGGGCTGTTTGCGCACCAGCACCACGAAGTCCCACCTCCGTTTGCAGCGTCGCGAAGCAAAGCAGCAGTTCTTGTCTCACAAACCACCACAGACCCTGTGAAATCCCTCAGCCCCATCGTCCTGGAAGCCAAGTCAGGTCTGTGGGCGAAGGACGTGGCTTCTGACATGGTTCGGTGGGGGGGCACTAGCCCATGAGGCAAAATTCAGGCATATTTGGTAGGGATGTTGGAGCCTGCTGGTGTTCACTCCCAAGCAGTTCTGCTCTCCCCTGGAGGTAAGGTTTGAAAACTGCAAGCAGTGGCATCGTAGCCCTCGCACAGCCGGGCTGATCGGCAAGAAAAGGGATGTTTACCCAAAAAAAATAATTCCTAGCAGCAAGAGGCCCGTGGCTTTGCTTGATGTGATCCTGCCTAAAACCAGCTGCAGCAAAGGGCTCTGACTCATAACCCACACCAAATTAGGCCTTAACCAACAATGACGTTACCTTTCCCAGCCATCCCTCTCCCGACCACGTCTGCCCCTCCGGCAAGGCTGGCAGGACCCCAGTCCTAGGCACACATACAGCAACTGAGGTCATCTTTGTCTCAGACAAACTTGCAGTCTAAATGGAGATGTTCAGTACGATGGTTAATATTCCTCCCCCATGACATGTAAGAAGGAAAAGCACAAGACAGCCATGAGGCGTTTAATAGCTCAAGAGCTCAGACCACTCTTGGTCATCAGTCCCTTAGCAGGACAGGCACTGTCCAAACCAGCCCGCGAGGAGGGGTCAGGAGGGAGGTTTGAATACATGTCAAACAGCAGTTTTTGTGGCACATACACGGCCTTACATGAAATTTCATCTATCACCTGGCTGAAGCATTCTGCAGTGACATGTGCATTTCCTGTGTCAAAAACGCTGCTGTTGGCGTGTCTCGTTCATTAATGTTTCGCTTAGGGTGATAACGTGCAAACCCCAGCACGAAGATCTTGGCACGTTCTGCTCTGTCCAGCTGCTGACAGAGATGGTCTGTATCTCCCCCGTCCAGCTCACGTACCAGCACATCCCTGGTGAGCTCTTATTACCGCCTGTCATTCACGTTCTCTGTGCCAGTGCCACAGCACAAGTGCCGAGGTCTGGACCGCCAGCCTTTGGGTCTGGTCGCCTGCTTGGGCCAGTGCTATGGGGAGTGCTTTTCACAAGGAAATAAAAGTCTGTATTGCTGCAGCTGCCTGGGGATCTGGGCTATTAGTGCACATGTAGGGGGGCACCTCACTGACGGCAAGAACCTGCCGGGGAACTGAATAAAGGTTCAGTTCATTTTCTGGTTGCGTTTCCAAGGGTAAGATCAGTCTCTGCATCCCTTCCACCCATGACTCTTTCACTCTGATGGCCAACGATCGTGCAGTTTGCAGGGATGACTTTCTGTGTTATGACTGCCAGTTCATGAGGAAAAGCTCCCTGACAGTCCTAAAGCACTAACCCTACTCCGTTGTCATCAGCAACACCCCTGGTGAGAGGCCAGATTAACTACAAGTGGGAACTTCCTTGCTTGGCTGAATACAAACAACACACAGGACTCGTATAATGCCCATAAAGATTCCTCTAGGTGGTATAAAATGGAATTTTTTGTGTCTGTAATGAATAGCACCAGGGAGGCCGATAAACCTGTGCCGTACAAGACATCCTGCAGCAGCACGGGGCGGGTGACTGGCAGAAGACCGTGCTGTACATCCTCTCCAGCTCTGTGCGTGGCAGTCATTATTTGCTGTCACGGGATTAGCACATTCTCCAGCAAAGGGTCAGCCTTTTTTTAAAGAAGCCTCATGCTCGTGGTTTGCTTTATGCTCTGTTGTTGTTACTTGTTCTTTTTTGTTCATTGTTATGGGGCAGAATACCCCCAGCAAGGTGGAGCGCCACTCCATTGGGCACTGTTCGAGTACAAAGAGCGAGCAACTCTTGTTGCATTGAAGAGCTTGTGACTGAAAGAGCCAAGGCAAAACGTGAAAGCATGGGGAGTATTTGAAATCCAAAGTTATTTCCTTCCCTTTTGTACTTTGCAAATGCAGCTTCAGTCTGGCCGCACAGATTTTGCCACCCACCTCTCTTAACAATCTTACATGTCGAGAGAGCTGAAATTACCATGTTCTTGCTCGCAGAGAAAGACCTTTCATGTCATTTTCTAACTACAGCTGTTTGAAATGAGCCACGGAGCCTGGTTCAGAGCACAACGGCTCTGATGGATCCTTTTTTCCCCAATCCCACAACGTACTAGTCATGTTGACGTGTCCTACGAGGAACAATCGTGTTCTTGCCAGACACCTTCATGTCACTGGATAACCTAAGGGACAGGGTGAAACACGGAAAGGGGCGTGTGTTTTCTCATCAAACAACCTGATTTTTGGGTCAGAGGTTCTTGGAGGGAGACCTCCCCATTTATCCTGCTCTCTGCTGTGAAGCAGTGCAGGGCATCTCTGAAGGCAGCTCCAGAGCCTGGCCTCTCACAAGGCTTTTGCAGAAGTCCAGAGCACGGACTGTAGGATCACTGGGTGCTGGTATGCGGCAAGAAGGCGGTTTTCGTTTGGGCAGGCGTAGTATCTACTGCAGCAACTCACTGCTCCTGAGCACTGTCACCGTACGAGTACTTACGAATATCCTGGGCCACCTGGCAGCTCCATACAGGATTAGGGGAGGCACCCAGAGTCCCCATATTCCCTGACATTTACAATAGAGGGTATCTGCAAGTGGCTCTCCAAAACTCATGGAAGGAGAAAAGACAGTCCAGATAGACAGGGTAGTGGTCAAAAGAGGGAACAGGGAGAGGGCCGTGACGGTGGTCTCGCAGCACATCCACAGCAGAGATTTACCTGCAGACTCTACACCTGTGCCATGTGCCTACTAAACAAACGCGGTTGGCATGGTGGGAAGTCCACACATTTTTGGGGGTATATATGCTGCTACAAATGCCCTCAGTTTGTGGGCCTAATTCCAGGTGACTTCACCAGATAATTTAGCCTGTGTCTTCAGAGTGGGGAGTGTAAAATCAACGTCTTCAATGCAACTGCAACTAAGAATAGCAAAGCAGCAGAGAAACAACAGGAAGAGTGTTGCAGGATTGAAGCAGGAGCAGGGGCAGGAAGGAGTAGAAGGAGGCAAGGGCACCAGGAGGAGAGCCTGACACTAAAACCAGGCTGGCTCTGACTGTCTGGGGGATTGTGCTGTTTTAGGGACGGGACCAGGAGGAGTCAGAGGTTCCTCGCCAGCAGCTGCTAGTGAGAAGGTGCAGGATGTGCTGCACAGGTAGCACATGCAGCATGCTGCTGATCTGTGCATGAACAGCGGGGCGGCACTGGCCACGCATGTTACGACAGCACGTGTCCTGTAGGCTGCCTCCTGTGCTCGGGACTTTCCAGGCAATTCAGAGCCCCACGCAGGGAGGAGCTAGGAAAAAGCAAACCACCAATTTATGTTTACTTTCGTTGTTATCTCTTGGGACAAGTGCGTAGAGTCTGTAGCCTCTCCATTATTCGGTGTGTGGGTGGCAACCGTGACATTTCAGGAGCTCAGAGTTTAGCTCTGATGAGACTGGAGGCCAAAGATCACAATTAGACTCATCTGGGTGGGCTAAGGTCCATTCTCCTCTGATCCGTGTGTCGTTCCACAACACTTACTGCCTGACAGAGTTACACAGCCTGTCCCCGTGGTGTTCCCAGGAGGAAATGAAATATTGCTGCAGAGATGGAAAACAAGAACGGGATATTTTGACCATTTCCCTAACACTGCAGAGGGCATCTAGATAGGGACTGGAGTCATGCAGAGGGTAAAATCTGAATTTTATGAGGGATTTTAAGATTTTAAATACTTAAAAGGGGGGTGTATAATGAAAGATTTTAGATTTTTGGTATAAGAAAAATCTGAAAAACATCTCTCATTTCATATGTGTGTTCTGACAGAGCCAGAATATGTCACGTATTCTGCAATATTTTCTTCTATAAGATCCATCACTGAAAAATAGAAGTGAAACAAAAAATTCAAGATTTTTTACCCCCAAAATATTGAAACACGATGATTCACCCTGTCTAAAGCAAAATTCCAGAAAAATGAATGGTTTCATGAAGCATTCTGTTTCCCAAGAGAGTGCTCATAATGAAAAATGTGTTCCTGTTGAAGTTTCTCCATTCAGCTCCGTTCAGAATCAGATCAATATTCAGGGCTCTGGTGGGACTCCGTTCATTCCCCACGGAGCCGCTGGACTAACCCACTTTCTATATGAACATCTTCCCTTAGGTGTTTCCTTACTGCTTGCACCAGCTCTTCTCAGGTGGCTCAGAAAGTGGCACAGCTATTGCTCTTCTAACTTCTCTTTGTTTTTCTCCTTCCTCCTTCTCCCCTTCCCGCTCTCCTCCAGGAACCTTCTGCATCATTTCACTGTGCACGTGCGTGGCTGGAATCAACTTTGAGCTCTCCCGCTACCCCCGCTACCTGTACGGACTGCCCGACGACATCAGCCATGGCTATGGCTGGTCCATGTTCTGTGCGTGGGGGGGCCTGGGCCTCACTCTTATCTCTGGCTTCTTCTGCACTCTGGCCCCTTCTGTCCAACCTGTCCCCAGGACCAACTGCCCCAAATCTAGACCTGAGAATGGGACAGTGTGCTAAAACAATTAGCAAACACACACACACACCACATATATATATATATGT